GGGATCTCGCTCTTGCTCAGGCTGGTCTCGAACTGCTGAGCTCAAACAATCCGCCCGCCTCGGCCTCCCAGAGTGCTGGGATTACAGGCGTGGGCCACCGCGCCCGGCCTCAAACCTTATTTTCTGAATGGATTGAAATTGTGGTTTCTCAAAATTTGTGCTTCTTTCTTTTTATCTGCAGGTCTTTGCACATGCAAGTCGTTCTCTAGCAGGCACTAAAGATACAACATCTGTACAATGCTGTATTCCAGCATTGGTAGTTATTAATAATAATAGGGCTATATCATTAGAAGGATCAAAACTAATAGGTAAAACCTCATATATTGAAAAATATTCTTATACATAGTAACTCATTTCTTAGGAGACCAGGATTAACAAGGCTTGGTTTTAATAAAGTTATGTGTAGCTCTGTATTGTCTAGGTCTTTACCTTAATTTTGTGCATGGTATAGTTTCTGTATGATCCTTTTAAGGCCTGAATGATGAATCCTTTACTTTCTGTTCTATTTTATTTTTAAATTTATTTTTTTTCTAAATAGGGAATAAATTCTGTAAAATTTAAAATTCTCAGAGGGTACATAGTGAAAAATTTTCTTTCCATTTTTCACCATCAGTGAATCAGTTACCGTCCTTGGTTGCAATTTGTGTTACTTTTTTCATGTATATTCCTCCTGAGATAGTTTATATAAGCAAATACTAGGATAGTATACTACATACAGTGTTATGCCCCTTCCTCTTTAAAAATTTTTTTATGAAAAGCATATCCTAAAAGCTCCTTCAATAGCTGTACATAAAGAACTTTTGAATTTTCATCCTACAAGTTTTTCTTTAAATGTTTTCTTTTAAATTGAGGCATAATTTATACACTGTATATTATAGATCATTAGATTACAGATGATGAATTTTTTCTTATGCATACACGTATCTAACTGCCATCCAGATCAAGATATAGAACATTTCAATACCCCAGCAAGCTTCCTTCTGAACCTTCCTAGTCAGTACCACTGCTTTCCCCAAGGGTAATTGCATTTCAGAGGTTTCTCAAATATTTTTGAGCTTCACATAAATGGAGTTATGTGTTATATACTCTTTTATATCTGACTTTTTTCCTGACATCATTTCTGTGAGAATTATCCATGATGTTGGTGTGTAGTAGTTGTTTATTTTCTATCTTAGGGTAGCATTCCATTGAATAAATATAACACAATTTATTTTTCCGTGCTCCTACTGATAGACATGGTTGGATTTTTTTTCCAGTTTGGGTCTGTGATGCTGCTAGGAACATATTATTGCACATATTTTAGGGTGGACATGATAACCATTTATTTTCCTGTGAAATTGGTGGGTAACAGGATATATATGCTTAGCTTTTATAGATACTGCTAAACATTTTTCTAAAGTATTGAACCAATTAAAACTACCACTATTAAGATTTTGACTTGCTCCATATTCTAGCCAACATTGACAATCTTTCTTCACTAGTTTATTTTGAAAAATATAAACACACAGAAAAGTTTCAAGTTGTATTTTTGGTTTTTTAGATTCATGTGTAGATAACACACTGTAAAATACAGTGATCTTAGGTATTTAGTGTGAGTTTTAAAAATTACTTTTCAAATAAGCCCCAACCCAAGGAAGATATATAGAATATTTCCATTATTCTAAAAACTTCTTCATATGGCCCTTTCCAGCCAATTCTAGTTACCTTCTCCAACCACCTTTCTGATTCCGATACTATAGATTAGTTTTACCTGTTTTGGGCATTTGTGTAAATAAATAGATTTCTTCTGCCTCTGATTTCTTTTTGTTTCTAAAGTTTTTGAAATTCATCCATGTTATTGCGTGATGTAGATGCTGGGCATACTGTTGGCCACTGGGGTGTCATTGCTTCTTGGTCCTTTAGTGGATAAAAAGAGGAAAATATGTCAGGAAAAATATATAGATACCACTAATTTAAATCCATCACCATAGGATTCTTCCGTTTTTCTCTATTTCATACTCCCTTCTCAAAGGAGTTCCTTTTAATAGAAATTCTAATCCTAATTTTAAAATAATGTCAAATTATGGAAAATATAACTTGATTAAGTACTGTACAAATATTAAGGGCATACAAATGTAATGTTCTTAAAGTAATACATATATAGCATGTTCTCCAACTAAAATATAGTGTTTTAATTTTTATAAGTTAATATAAGTATGCATGTTGAATTCTCATATGTATTTTATATTTATCCTAATTCCTAAAAAGTGATTACTCCCGAATTTCTGTTAGAAGTTAAAAAGCTTTAATTTTAATTTTAGTTTTTGGGACATGATTTTCGCTCTGTCACTTAGAGTGGAGTGCAGTGGCACAATCACAGCTCACTGCGACCTCCAACTCCTGGGCTCATGAGGTCCTCCTCACTTAGCCTCCTGAGTAGCTAGGACTACAGGTGTGCGCTACCACGCCTGGCTAATTTTTAAATTTTTTGTAGAGATGGATCTTGCTATGTCGCTCAGGTTGGTCTTGAACTCCTGGCCTCAAGTGATCCTCTTGCCTCAGCTTCCCAAAGTGCTGAGATTACAGGCGTGAGTCACCACACCTGGCTTCATTTTGAAGACATATTTGGTCTAGTTTTATTTTATCCTTAAGTTACAGCACATTATTAGTGGGAGGTACCATAGCCTAATTGCTAAGACTTTTAGTTGTAGACAAATAATGAGTGGTTTGAATCCTGGTGTTGTCTCATTAGATCTGTGATTTTTTATTAAGTTTATCTCTTTGAGCCTCAGTTTTCTCATCTGTAATATAGGGGTAGTAACTCTCTTTGGAGGTATTGTTAGGAATTATTGTGCCTATAGTATTTATTGTTCAATAGTGGTAGTTATTACAATAATAACAAAATGCCTAAATTTTATTTGGTGATATTTTAAGGGAAGACAAAAGGAAATATGAAAAAGTTGACAATAAAGCTTAATTGATAGTAAAAGTCACTTCTAGTTGATGTAGTAATCTTTAAATGACTATTCTAATTTTGAAAATATAATCATCTGCAAATTAAATTGGTGGGAAATCAGGATATTTGTTACTTTACAGAGGCAAATGACTTTAAAAATTGTGCTTTGTAAGTAGTTAATTCATGGATATTTTTAGAACCATTAACTACAAATCAGTCTGCCGATTTCAGATTTTCTAATTTTTAGATTATTAGAAGTAATAGAACATGCAGTGAAAACTTTTTGAATGAAAGTTCTAATAGCTCAATTTCTATTGATAGGCACTGAAAGATAGCACAGAAGTAGAAATCGTGGATGAGAAAATGAGAAAAAAGATAGAACCAGAAAAATGGCCAATTCCAGGTCCTCCTCCACGTAATGTGCCACAAACGGACTTCTCTCAACTGATTGATTGTCCAGAGTTTGTACCAGGCCAAGCCTTTTATTCACATCCAGGTAACAGCTTTTCTTCTAGGACAAACAACCTAACAATAGGCTATTTGGTCCAATTTGTCTATCCTTTTATAGTTTGTTTAGATTCAGCAGGAAAATTTATGATAAATAAATGACTTGATGCTCCAAATTCTATTCATATTGCCTCCCACACAGAGCTATAAGTTGACGCTCTCTTATGTTTCTTGTTCTTAAATTATATGTGTACTCTGTCATTTATGGTGTTTCTACCTATCTTCTTTTAATTTTACTAAATGGCTATAAATATATTATGCCAGTTTTCCCCTTGTAAAATTGTATTAGTCTAAAAGTCTTCTACTTAAGAGTGGGCTTCCTTTAATTTTGTTACCAATGTGCTTCAACTTTGTCTTGAAAAGATAAGATGACCTACATTGTAAAGCAGAATTGGGGTTCTCTTTAATCTGGTTGTGTTTAGAATTTCCAAAATCTGCTTTAATGTTAAGATTTTTTTTCCTGGATCATTTTTAAGACATTCCCTCTTGGGAAAAAATGTGTGCTTAAACTTTTTTCAGTCAGGGTGATGATCTACTGATGCTCTTGGATGTCATTTGATCGGAATATGCAGTGGAATAGGTGACTCACTGAAATGGCATTATAAATATTGGAACAAATCGTGCTGCAGAAATGAAAGTGACCAGACTGTCTTCTGTGCAAGAATGTCTACTCTAACTCCTTGTGGAGGAGGTTGGGCCAACGCTACCATGGAGATAACCACCTTTGTGATGACGATGAGAGACAGACCAGAGGACTGCTATTGTTTTTATAGGAGCTGCCCATTTCTGTGTAATTGGCCTGGGATGCATGGGCTACTTTTATTCACGGTGGGAAAGTTAATTATTATTATTCTGGAAATACTGCAAGAGTCTGTCTTTTGTTTCCAGGCTTATGTACTTGTGTCCAGATCAATAAAGCAGAAAAGAGAGGATTGAGTAGCATTTCCCAGATTGTTAAGTACTTTGCTATTTGATTTGTCCTTCAATACAGTGTACGTTGCATAACTTACGTGTTGTCATAATGTTTCCCATGGACTATAAGATTTATTAATGTGGACACGTAAAGGGTAAGAAATTTAAGAAATGAACGTGGGTATTTTTTTCTTTTACTCTTCGAAATGTATTTTTGATACATCAATATGGGAGACCTTTCCATCAATAAAGCATTGATGATGGACAGTCTCACAAATATTTTTATCTCATGTTTGTCAGCCCTCTTGCTTCTATCCCAGCAACCAACTTGGGCAGGTGTTTTAAAAGTTGAAGAAAAGTGATGTTGTTTTTGTTTTTTATTTTAAAGATATAATAGTTGATTGTATAAGTTAGATTTATTTATTGTATAAACTTGGGTCCAAGATGATACTTTTTAGCCAGCTAATGAACAGGCATTAAGTTGAATAAAATAGAAAATACCTTTTCTACAGGATAGTTAAGATAGGTCATTCAAGTTGGTAATCCCTGTCCATTAACCACTTACGCATTATTAATAAAATTATAAGAATAAAATCATATCTTGTACATTTCTGTGTTTTTTAATATATACTCAGCTGCATACCCATACATATTGCCTGAAACAAGTCAGTGTATATTGAAATGTCATAACTTTTAGATTCTTTCGATTATACACTAGAAATTAGATGGTTAATAAATAAAAATTGAATGTACTTAGAATTATACTTATTCACACTAGATCAAAGGAATAAATATGTAAATCATCTTTTCTCATGAATTCTCAAATTTCTGACCTTAATTCCCTTGCGATAAGAAGGCATAGTTTCCTAAAGTCAGTGGAGATACTACTGTACATCACCAAAAATTTGAAGTGGAGGTCAGCTGTGGTGGCCTTATGGATATAATCCCAGCACTTTGGGAGGCCAGGTGGGAGGATTGCTTGAGGCCAGGAGTTTGAGACCAGCCTGGACAACATAGCAAGACCCTTTCTCTGTAAAAAAAATAAAACAATGATTAGCTGGGTTTGGTAGCATGTACCTGTAATCCCAGCTACTCGGGAAGCTGAGATGGGAGGATTACTTGAGCCCAGGAGTTCAGGGTTGCAGTGAGCTATGATCACACCACTGCACTGCACCCTGGGTGACAGAGTTAGACCCTGTCTCCTAAAAAAAAAATTTGAAGTAGACATAAGGGATAGGAAGCATACACTGTCTTTATATGTACCCTTGGGTAGGGAAAAGTAGTGAAACTTTTATTAGTGTCATTTTAATCTCAAACTAGAAAACCTTAAAATTTAAAAATTACCCTTAATGTATACTTTTTGAGGGATTTGTATGGTAAAATATTTTAAGGTAATTGGTCCTCTTCATCAAAGAAATTAAAATTCCTATTTTTTCCTCTGGAGGTTGAACTTTCTAACATGGGTTGACATTTGCACTCAGCATAAGACCTTTATACACCACAAAATGTTGATTATGGGAATGGTAGGGTTACTTTTGAAACAGGCATTTTGCAGTGCTATGGATATGGTACTGTAGTATCAACTCTTAAAATATTTAATTCATCAGAATTGAGAAGTTAGATCCCTTACCATCTTGATTTTTTGTTTTTGGCTTTTAAAAAATGTGTGATGAGACGATCTAATGGTTATTGAATAAACTGTGGAGACTTCCTTTGAAAATTTTATATGCAGAAATATTCTTGAAAGCGCCACACATAAAATATGTAATCCTTTTTAAAGAAACCCGATTACCCAGAGCTGTGATTCTCACAAAGTGGTAGAAAAAGTTATGCTAGATATGTATACAGTGGTTTATCTTTGGAGGGTCGAGTAGATAATTTTCACTTAATAAAACTAGCAAAGAGACAAATTTTCTATGTTCTCACAAATTATAACTTGTTAAAATATGTATCTAAATTTTTTTTGGTCTAAATTTAATGTCAGATAATCCAAATCGTTTATACTCATTTGGTCTTGGAAGATTAAGGGCTTCGTATTACCCATAATTTTTTTTTACATATTTATAGTTTGAAATCTTTTCATTGTAAATGAAAGTACAGGTGCAGAAAACCATACAGAGCATATGTACAGCTTGATTACTATAAGGTTAACATTTTTAAAAGTCTTATTATAAGACTATTTTAAATTTTCTTACCCAAATTCTTTAGTGTTTTAATTTTATTCCATTTCTAAGCACATGTGTTGTGAATATAGTGAAACACTTTATGGTAGAAGCATAATTCAATTTAAAGACATTTAGAGTTGACTATGTAATAAACTATTAGCTGGACACAGTGGTGCATACCTGTAGTCCCTAGGCCCAGCTACTCAGGAGGCTGAGGCAGGAGGATCACTTGAGCCCGGGAATTTGAGACCAGACTAGATAACATACAGAGAGCTGTCTGTATAAAAACAAAAGTATTTAGTGGGTATTAAAAGATTAAATTTCTGTATTAAAAATGGTAGCTACTGCCTTTTTCCTCCATCGTGCTAGGGGCTATTCTAAGCATTTTTTATTTCTTTTTTGAGACAGTCTCGCTCTTTCACCCTGGGCTAGAGTGCAGTAGTGTCATCATAGCTCACTGCAACCTCAAACTCCTGGGCTCAAGCGATCCTCCTGCGTCAGCCTCTCAAGTGGCTGGGACTACAGGCGCGTACCACCATGCCTGGCTTATTTGAGATTGGGTCTCACTCTTGCTTGGCTCGGTCTCACTCTTGCTTGGCTGGTCTCGAACTCCTGAGCTGAAGCAATCCTCCCGCTTCGGCCTCCCAGAGTGCTAGGATTACAGGCATCAGCCACCACACCCAGCCTGTTCTTACCATTTTTACATGAACTATGCATAGTAATTAATTTTCATAATAGTTGTAATAAGGAACTGAGTCAATCCCTAAACAGTTACTGGATAGTAGTTCTTAGTCTACTTTTGAAGCTTTACTCATTATATGAACTATAGATCAGAAAATAGGGTTCTCTGGAGTTAATGTTTTTCCCATTCCTGTAACTTTAGACTATCAGTGTTAAAATCAAATGGTCTAGATCCTGTATTTCACTTTTACTACTTTTGTGAATGAATTGGTGATACATGTACTGTTAATTAAGAAAGTTGTAGAGTAGCAGTGTGCAGTAGAAATATGTGAGCCATATGTATAATTCTAAAAATTTTAGTATTAAAGTTATAAAACAGATGAAATTTTTTTTTTGAAAGGAAAGAGGCTTTTATTTGTTATGCAATTATCTAGTTACCCTGTGGAAAAAAAGATGAAATTAATATTAATATTTTAAATAGATATTTTAATTTAACTCAGTATATCCAAGTGTTACTACAACATATGCTCAATGTAAAAATTTATGGCACAGTTTTCTAGGGGAGCTGGGTACCAGGTCTTTGAAGTCTGATCTGTGTTTTACACTTGCCCTGAGCATGTTTCAGGACTAGCCACATTTCATGTGCTCTGTAACTTCATACAGCTAGTGCCTACTGTATTGAACAGCACAATTCTAAAGTTTTTTCTGTTATGAAACAATATACCTCTTTTGAAAGTAACCAGATTACTATCTGGTTGAATCCTTGTTGGATCCATATGTCAGATAATAAATACTAAAGCCATCCAATTCTAGCATGTAAATGAAAGCAAAATGTTGAAGGAACACTTCTTAAACCCATTCTTGAAAAGTGCCTTTCTTTTAGTAAATAAAAAGATTGTTGGTATCAGTTTATTTCAACTTTCTGCGTATAACATTCAACTTTGCAATATTTTCAATGAATTGACTTTGAGGAGTAAATGATTAGAATTTTACAGTATACATTTCAAAAAAAGTATTGCATATATTTGAGGTTTACAACATGTTACACTATGTAGTTTTTAAAAACCTCTTTTGTCCAAATCAAGTCCATATTGCATCTTTTTCTAATTTATTTATATTTTTGTAGAGATGGGGATCTCGCTATGTTGCTCAGGCTGGTCTTGAACTCCTGGGCTCAAGTGATCTTGCCTTGGTCCCCAAAGTGCTGGGATGACAAGTGTGAACTACAAGACTCGGCCCCATATTGCATCTTCAGACCTGAAGATGAATATAACTTAAAACATTGAAATATTCCTTGATTTAAAAATTCATAAGGGGAACAAATTTGATTTTATAGAATATATAATTATTTTGATTAAAATTAAGCCTGTAGAAGTGATACTGTAGAGGAAGCCTTTTTAAATTCCAGCTTTAAACGCTTTAAATGTTATTGCCAGGGCTGCGTACTTTAGTGATATAACATTTTACTCTTTACAGTATTCAGTATGAGCAAAGTAGTAATGCATTATGCATGTAGACAAACCTTTTTAAGCAAAGGAAATGTAAAAAGTAGGAGTAATGGCTACTTTAGTTTAAATCCTATTAGAACAATGAGACTAATTTTACCTTGAATAAAATGTGCATTTAGCTTAACCATGGCTTAATAGCAATTGAGATTCCATAATTCCGTTACAATTTACAGATTTTAACCTAAGATTTTGCAGAGAACTTGTCTCTTAAATAATTGTACTGTCATAATTAAGAAGTGACTCACATTGATATTCTTGAAGTTTTAATGAATGTGATGGTCTTTGTAAGGATTGGTGACATGTCTTTTATTCAGTATCTTCACTTTGGAGTAAATCTTACAAGCTCTTCAGGTTTGAAAATTACTGGGAAGGTTATAATTGAGATTGATTATTATGTTTTTGTGAAAAGAAAGATCAAACCCAAGTTGAGGAAAAAATGAAATGTATTTTATAAGAAAAACCATTATCATTTTAACTGTAGAACTAATTTAAAATTTTAGAGTCTGCCCCAAATTCTCCAAGAATTGGAAGCCCATTGACCCCAAAGAAAAATAGTGAAACAAGTAATCTTCAAGCAATGTCTAGAGGTTTATCTACTAGTTTGCCTGACTTGGACTCAGAACCTTGGATTGAAGTAAAAAAGAGACATCGTCCAGCCCCAGTGAAATTGAAGGTAAGTGAAGTGTGGTATACCTGGGTGGAGTGTAAGGTCAGCGCATTTTCTATTTGTTGGGTAATTATGTAAAATTTGGAAAAGTTTTAAAAATTGGTATTGTTGTTCTTCAGTAGAAACTTTATGGGTTACTCTATGAGGAAGATAAGTTATACTGTATCAATTTTTAAAGTTTATCTTTTATTTCTGAACATGATTTAAGAATTTTTGACTTGGTCTTTTTACTTGTGACTAAACCTGAATAATAATTCAGTTTCTAAAAAGGTGAAAAAAATCTAAATTTTGAAATTATACTCTTGTTAATTATTTACAAGGTTCTTGGGGCATATATTAGGTTTTATATATATGTTTAGTTGATTTAATGGACAGAAGGAAAAGAAAAGAGAATTCACTTCTTGGGAGGTACACAAGGGAGTGAGATGGTTATAAAAAAGGCAATAGGATAATCTTGTGGTGGAACTGCTGTATTTTTGACTGGTGGTAGATGCACAAACTTACATATGCGATAGAATTGCTTTGATCTCGGTCGCAAGTGAGTACAAGTAAAACTGGGGAAGTGTAAGATTGATTTA